AAGGAAGAGGCTTTTCAGGTCTATAACTACATATACATAAATGAGTGCTAGACAACAGCTGTACTATGTTGGTTAAAAGCATCAATTCTAAATCGTAACTGCTGGTTCAGATCCTGGCTCTTCTCTTTACAGATTTTGTCATCTTGACCCATTGGCTCAACACTACTGTGGGTCAATATCCTCAGGGAAAATACTGGCACTTACTTTGTGAGATTTTCTGAAATTCAGTCAAATTTATTAATAAAAGTAAAGTGCTTAGTATAGTAGCCAGAACCCAGTAAGTGCTCCATAAATGCTAGCTAGGTGTTATTACTAACCAAGCACATAACAGATTGAGAAGACTCATTCTCGACAGGGTTAACTTTGCTCCCAGAGGACATTGAGCAATATCTAGAGACATTTTTGGTTGTTACAACTTGGTAGGAAGCTGCTCCTGGCATCTAGATCATAGAGGTTAGAGATGCTGCTAAACATTCTAAAATATACAAGACAGCCCACCCTACAAGGAATTATTCAGTCCAAAATGTAAATAAAGCTGAGGCAGAGAAATACTGAGCTAGAAAAACCACGCTTAGTCAACAAAGACCCTGAGATGTTTTCTCCATAGGGCATTAGATACCACTAACCAAAGATTGCTGGCAAACCAAATAACCCTATGAAACTGCACCCCATCCAATACCAAGTAAGCTAATGCTGGAAAAAGTAAAAATGATAACTGGGGGCCGGGCGCGGTGGCTCACGCCTGTAATCCCAGCACTTTGAGAGGCCGAGGCAGGTGGATCACGAGGTCAAGAGATCAAGACCATCCTAGCCAACATGGTGAAACCCTGTCTCTACTAAATACAACAAATTAGCCGGGCATGGTGGCACATGCCTGTAATCCCAGCTACTTGGGAGGCTGAGACAGGAGAATCGTTTGAACCCAAGAGGCAGAAGTTGCGGTGGGCCGAGAATGCGCCATTGCCCTCCAGCCTGGGCAACAAGAACAAAACTCCGTCTCAAAAAAAAAAAAAATGATAACTGGGTATATGGAAGCATAACACTCTAGTATGTCTTAGAGTTATTTCAAAAGACTTATTTGAAAAAGTAATCTTTATTTCTAATTGAGTCACTTTTCTAAAATGTATTGAATAGGATTCTGAGAGTGATGATCTAGGATATAAAATAGTTTTAGGGACTATGGGTCCTATCAAAAATAATGCCTGAAAATTTATCTAGATTTCTTCTCATAGGACCCAGCAAAAATAAAAAGGTATGCTTATAATGGATACTTGGTAGGAGAGAAAGTGGCCATGAATCTTCATGCTGCTTTATATTTTCATCCTCTTCAACCTAGCCTAGATACTTTTTGGATGGTGGGATTATTTAAAGAAAACTAAATGAGAAGGGCTCAAAGTATCCTTTTCCTTGCAGTCCTGATCTCTTATTTTTATTTTTTTGAGACAGAGTTTCACTCTTGTTACCCAGGCTGGAGTGCAATGGCGCGATCTCGGCTCACTGCAACCTCCGCCTCCTGGGTTCAGGCAATTCTCCTGCCTCAGCCTCCTGAGTAGCTGGGATTACAGGCATGTGCCACCATGCCCAGCTAATTTTTTGTATTTTTTTAGTAAAGAAGGGGTTTCACCATGTTGACCAGGATGGTCTCAACTGATCTCTTAAATGTAGCAAGAGCTCTCACTGAGAGGATTCCTTATCCATCCTTTCTATGAGCTTCTCTGTACCTCCTCCAGCTTATGTTGAAGAGAGTATATTGGTCACTTGAAGCAAAACCTACAAAGCCCAACAGAAACACTTCCTTTTTTTTAAAAAAAAAAAAAAGCCTCCTAAGTCTCAAGAGTAAAGTAGGAAGCTTCCCATAAGAAACACATCATTGGCCCTGACCTTCATTACTTGGGAATTGATGGCTGGTGCTCAGAGAACTGCTAAGTAACAGTGAAATCCCTTTCCTTCTTCACTCCTTGGTATGGAGGTACTGCTCAAACACAGAACAGGGTTCCGATGATGATTCATGATGACATATGACTCCTCTCTTATGCTTGCTGGTCAGATTCACAATAGAGGTTCATATATATACCCAAAGTGTGCTCACTGTTGTCCACCATAATGTCAAGGGAGGACTCTGTAATATTCTAATTTTAGTGGACTTAATAATGGTGCCTAAATATATCATTCCGGTATTAATCCATTCTCACACCTCTATAAAGATACTACCCAAGACGGGATAATTTATAAAGAAAAGAGGTTTAATTGACTCACCGTTTCACATGGCTGCGGAGGCCTCAGGAAACCTACAATCATAGTGGAAGGAGAAGCAAGTTTTTTCTTCACAAGGCAGCAGGAAAGAGTGTGTGTGTGTAAGCACAAGAAAAACTACCATTTATAAAACCATCAGATCTTGTGAGAACAGCATGAGGAAACCACCCCTGTAATTCAATCAATCACTTCCCTTCCTTGACACTTGGGGATTATAGGTCCCTCCCTCTGCATGTGGGGATTACAACTTGAGTTGAGATTTGGATGTAGACACTGCCAAACCATATCATCCTATCCCTGGCCCCTCCAAATCTCATGTCCCTTATATATTTCAAAACCAATCAAGCGTTCCCAACAGTCTCCCAAAGTCTTAACTTATACAGCATTAAAAGTCCAGGTCTGAAGTCTCATCTGAGACAAGACAGGTCCGTTTCACCTATGGGACTTTCACCTGTAAAATCAAATGCAAGTTAGTTCCCTCCAAGATACAGTGGACATACAGGCATTGGACGCTACCTTCCAAATAGGAGAAATTAACCAAAACAAAGGAGCTACAGGCCCTACACGAATCTGAAATTCAGGAGTGGGGGCAGTCATTACATCTTAAAGCTTCTAAATGATATCTTTTGACTCCATGTCTCACATCCGGGGGACACTGATGCAAGCAGTAGGATCCCACAGTCTTTGGCAGCTCCGCCCCTGTGGAAGATACAGCCCCTCTTCCAGCTGCTTTGATGGGCTGGTGTTTAGTGTCTGTGGCTGACCCAGGTGCACAGTGCAAGCTGTCGGTGGATCTACCATTCTGGGGCCTGAAGGACTACGGCTCTCTTCTCACAGCTCCACTGAACAGTGCCCCAGTGAGTACTCTGTGTGGGACCTCCAACCTCACATTTCCCTTTCCGCACTGCCCTAGCAGAGTTTCTCTACGAGGGCTCAACCCCTGCAGCAAAGTTCTGCTGGAAGTTCTGCAGCAGGTGTTTCCATACACCCTCGGAAATCTAAGCAGAAGTTCTAAAACCTCAGTTCTTGACTTCTGTGCACCAGCAGGCCCAACACCACGTGGAAGCTGCCAAGGCGTGGGGCTTGCACCCTCTGAAGCAACAGCCTGAGCTGTACATTGTCACTTTTTAGCATCAGATTTTGCTATGCCTATCTGCTCTGTAACCCAAGAGAGGGAGCAAAGAGCAGCCAGGTGGGCTTAGATGCTGGGGGATTAAGCAATAACTCACTCCATTTTCTGTTTCTATACTCCAGCAAGTGCCACGTCCCAAGACTGTACAAAGCAGCAAGGTCATGGGTCCAGCCAATGAAACCATTTTTCCCACTAGGACTCCAGGGCTATGATGGGAGGAGCTGCCCTGAAGGTCTCTGACAAGCCCTGGAGACATTTTACCCCTTGTCTTGGCAATTAACATTTGGCTCCTAGTTTTTATGCAAATTAACACAGCAGGCTTACATTTCTCCCCAGAAAATGGATTTTTCTTTTCTATCTCATCATCAGGCTGCAAATTTTCCAAACTGTTATGCTCTGCTGCCCTTTTAAACATAAGTTCCAATTTCAGATCATCTCTCAAGTTCAGTTCCATAGATCTCTAGGGCAGGAGTGAAATGCTGCCAATCTCTTTGCTAAAGCATAGCAAGAGTGACCTTTGATCCAGTTGCCAATAAGTTCCTCATCTCCGTCTGAGACAACCTCAGCCTGGACTTCATTGCCCATATCATTATCAGCATTTTGGTCAAAACCACTCAACAAGTCTCCAGGAAGTTCCAAATTTTCCCACATTTTCCTGTCTTCTTCTGAGCCCTCCAAACTGTTCCCACCACCACCTGCTACCCAATTCCAAAGTCACTTCTACATTTTCAAGTATCTTTATAGCAGTGCCCTATTCCCAGTACCAACTTACTGTATTAGTCCATTCTCACACTTCTATAAAGACACTCCCCAAGACTGGATAATTTATAAAGAAAGGAGGTTTAATGGACTTGCAGTTCTGCATGGCTAAGCTGGCCTCAGGAAACTTACAATCACGGTGGAAGGAGAAGGAAATACCTTCTTCACAAGGCAGCAGGAGAGAGTGTGCCTGTGTGAGCACAAAAAACGTGCCATTTATAAAACCATCAGATCTCCTGAGAATTCATTCACTATCACAAGAACTGCATGGAGGAAATTACCCCCATAATCCAATCACTTCCCTTTCCCTTCCTTGACACGTGGGGATTACAGGTCCCTCCACTGACACGTGTGGATCATAATTTGAGAAGAAATTTGGGTGCGGACACAGAGCCATATCATATCAATTCTCTAATCCCTGGAACCTGTCGATGATATCTTATTTGAAAAAAATAATCTTTGTAGATATGATTAAGTTAAGGTTCTTGAGATTTAGGGTGTTATCTTGGATTATCTGTCTGGACCCTAAGTAATATCATAAATGTCCCTGGAAGAGGGGGGATCTGACACAGAGAAGAGTAGGCCACGTGACAGCAGCAGCAGAGACTGGAGTAATACAGCCACAAACCAAGGAAGCTGGCAGCCACCACGACTTGAAAGAGGCAAGAAATGGATTCTTCTGTGGAACTGATACCTTCCTTTCTGTTTGGTAAAACAGATTTCGGACTTCTGTGCTCCAGAACTGTGACAGCATATCTCTTAGTTGTTTTAACCCTTCTAGTTTGTAATTTGGTTCAGAGGCCACAGGGAGACTAATACAGTATACCGTTTATGACTTTGGATTGTCTTCTCACAGGCCTACATCATCCTAACCTGAAAAGGGAAGAGAAATTGAAGAAAATTGTGGAGGAGTAGGAAGAATGAAGACACAGAGGCAAGAAACAGAAGAAGAATAGGAAGAGAAGATAAAGCAGGATAAAGTAGAGGAGAAATAACCTTCTGAATGGTAGGTCATATATAAATTATACGGGGGAAAAGTGAAATTTGGCCCCTAAGTTCCACACCTACCTATATGGTCAACATCGAGGCTATGCACAAGACCTAGAGAAATTTGTCTTAAAAAATCTTCATGACTCACTTAATAGTTTTAATAGTAACGGTGATGAGAAAAATTTCAGTAAGCTACATTAAACCTGTTAAAAAATTAATTAACACTTTTGGTCAAAACAGTGACCCCTTAGTCATCAAGCACGTAGGGTTGATTTGCCAACCCTAAACGTCCTTCAAGATTCTGCTCGTAACTTGCTTCCTCTATAAAAATCTCCTTTGACGTCTGCTCTTTCCATTTTCTGAATTTATATTCCATGCGTAGGAAGTATGTCTGTTATTTCTGCTCTTCCAACAACAACAGCAGCAGCCACTAAAAGCCCAAGGATGCTGCTAAATACCTTAAAATGTACAAGAAATAGTGATTATAGCTTGGCAGCTCCACCAGCAGTCTGCACAGGACAGGACTATAATAGAGTCCCTGTAGTGACTGACGGACTTACCACTATTCTGAGATTAATAATACAGGTGGTCTCATCTGTTTCATCTTCTATCTATCATCTATGTATCATATTATACAATGATGACTGATATTGAGAATTAGATCCCTGAGGCATGCCAGGTCTAAATCATAAAAAATAGATTGATAAAATTCATTGTCTTGCTAGTCGAGAAAATCTACTCATACATTTTAGGAAGATTTCCAACTGGAAGATTTCAGGCCAGAATGCATTTCTCAGCATCCTAATTTACTGCAATTAACTGCAATCTTCAAGTCCCAAATATTCAAAGCATCAGAAGATTTGCTTTATTAACCAAAGATTCATACGTTTAGCCTATAAATATACCTGAAGGTACTTTCTGGTGTTTATTACCCACTGTGTGGCAACTCTTAGTGTAAGGGTGGTATAAAACAAGCTTATTTTTTAATTGATTATATGTTTCTGGCTAAATTGCTCAGAGGAAAGTCTGCATTTGTGGGCTTGTTTATATTTTTTATATTGCTCATTTACATCCAGCGTAACTGAAATTGAAGTTCAGTTCTGTAAACTCTCCCACAGTAAGTGCTCAGAGAACTGCCCACACGCAAACCATTCTGTACACACTTGGCTAAAGAATTTACTCAAGAGGCTGGGTGTGGTGGCTCATGTCTGTAATCTCAGCACTTTGGGAGGCCAAGGTGGGTGGATCACTTGAGATCAGGAGTTCAAGACCAGCCTGGCGAACATGGTGAAACCCCATCTCTACTAAATATACAAACATTAGCCAGGTTGGCCAGATGTGGTGGCACTCGCCTGTAATGCCAGTTACTTGGGAGGCTGAGGTGGGAGAATCACTTGAACTGGGGAGGTGGAGGTTGTGGTGAGTCCAGAAAATACCACTGCACTCCAGCCTGCGCAACAGAGCGACTCTCTGTCTCTAAATCACTAAATAAGTAAATAAAGAATTTAGTCAAGGACGTACAACTGTTGGTAAGAATCCTTCATGATTTTACATTTTAATGTTTATTATTATTTATTTTTTAAGCATAAGAAAATGAAAGGCACATTGTTGGCATTTCTGTCATGCCAAAGCAATGAATATAAGCCACATTATACAATTAAGAATCAGAAATATAGAGAATGGCAATAAATTAAACAAGGACCTCATTAACACACCTCCAAAACCGAAAACCAGGACCTAAAATAATGTAAACAGTGAAATAACAGCTGCTCTTATGAAAATCCATATATTCTAATAGTACAGTATTTTGTAATTAATTGCCTTTCCCACCTTGGAAAAATTACGTTATAGTTATGTGGCCCATATTAAGGTTTTTTGGGCTTTTATAAGTATAAAAGTATTTCAAAAGTATAAGTTTTTGAAACTGGACATTTAGCTATCCACTAAGTCAAATCGCTTGAGGAAAAACTTCCATTTTTTTTATCTGGCTCTTTTAAAATGTTCCAAAGGAATGATTCAGATAAACTGTAAATAAAAGAATTACGATCACATTTGTAAAATGTAAAGCATCTTCCTATGGTATCGATATATCTAAACCACAATGTGGTCATGTCAGTCACCTGTTCCATGCATTTCTATTTTGGTGACCTGAATTAGGCCAGAATAATGAGTATAACTAAAATGCGCACACACCCTGGAAAACTTAGCAAGTTCTAAGGAAGGGAAAACGTCCTTGCCTAGGCTGGTTTTACCGGGTTCCTTTTTCTTTACTTTCCAAAATGAATCCTGCAGGTTGTCGTGTGTTTTTCTCTCTGTTAATGATCGCATGCTCAAAGCTCTACTAGCACTTTCTGGAACTCTTTAACTTCACTGTCATCCTGAGGGAACTCTGCCCCCGAAGGGGAAAAGACTTTTTCTTCACCCAGGGCCTTTTTCCTTGTATTAATATTAATATCCCATGAGAATATTAGCTCTGGAGGAAAGAATTTGGTGGCACAATTCCATATTTACTCATGAAATCCACCCTCACTTCCACTCACACATTTTAATAGGACACTTAAAAGCTCCCCATTCCTCCCTCTCTTCCTGGACACTTCAGCTTTATCTGACACCCACGTTTTTTCCCCCCTTTTTTTCTGCTTGAATCAAAAACCACTTTTTACTAGCAGAGCATTCTTTTGGTAGAGTATACCCTGTATTTGTTAGGGCAGAAAAGTATTTAAATTTTTAGAAAATCACTTGGCAGTAGTTGTAGAAACAGAAAATGGAGTGAGTTACTGCTCAATCCCCCAGCATCTAACCCCACCAGGCTGCTCTTTGTTCCCTCTCTTCTGTTACAGAGAAGATAGGCATAGAAAAACCTGATGCATTGTCAAAGCTCCATGAGATTTAAGCAGTGTAGTGTGGTTGACAGCAGCCTTCCAGCCTTCTTTTCCTGGAAATGCTATTTAAAACACCCTCTATGAGTGAGAGAAAAAACTCATTGGTGTCATTGATTCCTTCAAATAATTTTTAAATGACACTTTGCATATGTAGCTGGGTGACAAAACACATGGATTTTGAAGCAACACATATGATTGCATTCAAATTTGGGCTCCATACTTACTAGTATGTGATCTTGGGTAAGTTAATCTCGCTGTCCCTCAGTTTCCTCATATAAGATATATTCTTGAATGAAAATGATAATAATACTAACCTCATAGGGTTGTTGTGAGGATTGAGTTAAAATAGTGAAAGCTCTTTTGATTACTGTTTGCATATAGCATATGATATATGTTAGGTACAGAGTATCAACCTCTCTTTCCCTGATACATAGGCAGATTTAAAGACACGCTTATAACACGCTTATCTCTTCCTGGCATCTGAATTGGCATTCAGTAAATACTTGATGAATTAATGCACTCTAACAGAATAAATATGCTAATTTTAGAGACAAATTAGCTTTGTCCACTCATTGTTGTATAGCTTCTGTGATTTGTTGCTGATGAATAAATAGAAACAGAACCTCACGGTTTATGGATGAAGTGGATCAGGCCTAGATAGTAAGAAACATTTATGATGAGCCTCTGTGTGCCAGGTTCTGAGGCTGACACTTTCCATGAGCCACTACATGTAAGTCTCCTAATAGCTCTTTTAGGGCGGATACAATTAGTTCCTTTATATAAATAAGAAAAATGAAGCTCAGAAAAAAACATAAAAAAGCAGTGAGGGTGGATTATGCAAGTAAAATGATTTTACAGAAAGGTCATTTTGAATAAAACATTGAAAAACAAAGTGTATTTTAACACTGCTGATAAAGATACACCTGGAACTGGGAACAAAAAGGTGTTTAATTGGATTCACAGTTCCACATGGCTGGGGGGGGGGCCTCAGAATCATGGTTGGAGGTAAAAGGCACTTCGTACATGGAGGCAGCAAGAGAAGATGAGGAAGCAGCAAAAGCAGAAACTCCTGATAAACCCATTCAGATCTCATTAGACTTATTCACTATCATGAGAATATCATGGCAAAGACAGACCCCATGATTGAATTACCTCCCCCAACATGTGGGAATTCTGGGAGATAGAAGTTGAGATTTTGGTGAGGACATATCATTTTGCCCCTGGACTCTCCAAATCTCACATCCTCACATTTCAAAACCAATCATGCCTTCCCAACAGTCCCCAAAAGTCTGAACTCATTTCAGCATTAACCCAAGAGTCCACAGTCCAAAGTCTCATCTGAGACAAGGCAAATCCCTTACATTTATGAGCCTGAAAAATTAGAAGCAAGCTAGTTGCTTCCTAGGTACATGAGGGTTCAGGTATTGAGTAAATATAGCCATTCCATATGGGAGAAAATGGCCAAAACAAAGGAGTTACAGGGCGCATGCAAATCTTAAATCCAGTGGGGCAGGCAAATGTTCAAGCTCCAAAATGATCTCCTTTGACTCCAGATCTCACATCCAGGTCATGCTGATGTAAGAGGGGGGTTCCCATGGTCTTGGGCAGCTCCACCCCTGTGGCTTTGCAGGGTACAGCCCCCCTCTTGTCTACTTTCATGGGCTGGTGTTGAGTGTGGATTTTCCAGGCACATGGTGCAAGCTGTTGGTAGATCTACTATTCTGTGTTTTGGAGGATGGTGGCCCTCTTCTCACAGCTCCACTAGACAGTACCCCAGTAAGGATTCTGGGTGGGGGCTCCTACCCCACATTTCTCCTCTGCATTGTTCTAGCAGAGGTTCTCCATGAGGACCTTGCCTCTGCAGCAGACTTTTGCCTGCACATCTAGATGTTTCCGTATGTCTTCTGAAATCTAGGCAGAGGTTCCCAAACCTCAATTCTTGAACAGGCTCAATATTAGGTGGAAGCTGCCAAGGCTTGGGGCTTCCATCCTCTGAAGCCATAGCCTGAGTTGTATGTTGGCCCCCTTCAGGGACACAGGGCACCAAGACCATAGGCTGCACACAGCAAGACCCTGGGCCTGGCCCAGGAAACCATATTTTCCACCTGGGTCTCCAGGACCATGATGGGAGGGGCTGTTGTGAATGTCTCTGA